CCCATGTCTCTCCGTGAGCTATTAGTAGAATGATTAGCATGGCCGGTCGAGGTAGATAATGTATGGCTCGGGCGACAGCCGGAAGATCAGGCCGGAAGATCAAGCAGGAATAGACCTAGGATCACAAAGCTCTATTAAGCACCGAGTACCGTTGCCAATGCGCCCGAGATGCGCGCTTTAGGCAAAGTAACGGAGAACTGTCAGAGAAACGATCAGCGTCCTGTGCCATACCGACTCAGGCCTGCGTGTGCCTTTCCTTGATGAATCCTGACACGGCGAAACGAAAAGACTCCTTTGTGAGAACAGGTTTACTGCGAGTGCTGACCCGACATTGAAAGAATCGAATGACGACTGTACAACTGCCCTTGGTCAGAGATAGCGGGTGGATGAAGGTATCATTTCACATCTTCCGCGCTACCAAGCAGGATTGAAGCTGCCTTTCTAGCTTCGTAGAGACATCTACGCTCAATCTGTACGACGTCCGGCTAGACGCTCTTACCAGGACCGAACCAGTCGACACGTCATGTCGGCGAGCTAGCAGTGGAAGTCGTAATGCAGCAGAATGGGCAGTACTTAGCCGTAATATATTGTCGCGCAAGAAGATAGCTCCTTTGTGCAATGACCAAGAAACAAGACAGCGACGGCGAGTACAGAATCACGAAGGAGAGCGATCTATTTATCTCCGGAAATTAGTAGTCGATCACCTGGACCTCGATTGCGTACCTGAAGCTAGACGGGAGGCATTAATCTAGCTCATCAGTTGCGTCAGGATATGGACAGACGCTTTAGCCCTGGACGTGTGCGTTAAACTCCTCTAAAAGCACATTCCAGGACGGAAGATGAAAGAAAACTGGCAAATCGGACCAGACCCTCTTCTTCGTTTGGTCGACGCGTTGTCGCAACGCAGCTTGGCAGTCGCTGCATAGTTGTCCTACATCGCGCAGCCACTCCCCTGTCGGCACAGACAGGTAGTCGTGCCAGGCCTCACTCCCGTCAAACAGAAGTCGAGGCAGGGAATTTCCAGTAAGCCAGGCAAGCCGTGCCTGCTTGCAAGACGTCCGAGAGTAGGAAGAACATTCCTCCGATATTGTCTCGTAAACCAGTCTTCGCCACCTACCCATAATCCTTTGACGACCAAAGGCACACCGGGTGATGTCGGCTGGATCCTCACTGATAGGAGACGGGAGGTCGGCGTTGTCGTTTATGTCGCAATGGATGTACAAGGCGCTCGGTAGGAGCGCGCGAAGATCGCACTCTCGTGCAATCTTGAATATATAGCTTCCAGTTTCACGGCGCGAATCTGTATGCTCTAGCTTCCATCCCTCCAGCTCCGTAGGCCAGATCGACGTTAGGTGCCTTACAGCACGACGCCTGAGGACGGGCACATCATACTTGATACTGAGTCTGACCACGGCAGACAGGAATGCTGGGTAGGAAACGTGTTCTGTTTCCCAGTCCCGCACGCCCTGTCTGCCGTCATCATGTGAAGGTTCAGGGACTTTCTTGAATGGGGAGCGCCATAAAGTTATAGCCTCATCGTAGTAACTAGAGACAAATATTCACTGCCTGTGGAGGAAGGATATTCAGGACTATCACTCACTTCGGGATACACAGCGCGTTCAGGAACATCTCCATGTCCGACGCGGAGTCCTGCACTTCGACGTACGGATGCCCATCGATCTTCTCCACCTGGTCCGACTGGGGCATCGCGAGCATATCTCTGAATATCGAGGACTGTCGCGATAGCAGGTCGCTGTAAACGCGAAAGACCTTGTCCTCCGCCTTGATGACAATCATAGACCAAAGGCGCTGGCTTGGCCTGTACTCATTCTGCGCCCCCGCATCACGTTCTTCGTCTTGTTTCTGTTCCATGGACATCGATGAAGAGTACGAGAGGGTGCGGGTGAGGGAGGTCTGTCGCGAGGCCAACCCAGTACAACTGTCAAAGTGGTGTCACTCCCAGGGCACGCGGAAGCAACGAGGTGTTGAACCTAGTACCACGGGATTCGGGAAGGATACCTAGTCGCCGATAATTATAGCTGTGTGGTAACAGAAGTGGTGAATTGACTGGCAAATCAAAGTATCATTCTTGCCCGAAAGGGCCGCCGTGGTAGTCAAATGGTAGTGACATGAGTCCTCTTCCTTTTATTCCGCCGCTATTATATTAACATCGACATTCAACTTTCATCCACACCGTCGGAACTGCTCACGGGCGTGCGACGGCTATGGCCCTACAATGCATCGATCATACATCTGGCGCCCGCTTCCTCATCGGATGGTCGTTCGTCTCCGCTGCCCAGTCAGATCCCCGACCCAAGCACGTTTGCTGTCTCTCGCCGCGCTTCCATTTCGGTCTTGATAGTGAATCATGGTCATCGCCCTCTTCATCAACGTCGCTACTGCGGACTCATCCGTCCCGTCCGCGTCATCGCATCGTCGAACTTGCCTTCGTCCGCGTCCGGCAGATCGTTCTCCGGTTCCTGCAGAAGAATATCCCAGGATGGAAGGTTGAAATGCGGGGGCAGCGCCGCCCACGTCGCGCGGCGCGCCTCCCCGACGAATGTCTCCATACTGCCACGGCAGCTCTGACAAAGCCCTGCGCGCCCTCGAGTCACAACCCGACCGGCTCCTGCAGGTGCAGGAAGTCGAGCCACTGATTGCTGCCATCGATCTGCAGAGGCTTGTAGTGGCGAAGCCAATCGAACTTTGCCAGCCCGCACTCTAAGCAGGGGGAACAGGAGCCCGTGAACCTCTCGTTGAGGCTATCTCGAGGCCTACCCAGCATCACAAGTCCATTATCTTCTGCCGGCCGGTGTAGCACCGGATCAGGTCGTCCGGGTAGTCGCTGATGGCAGGAGGCATATCGAGCTTGTCGTCAATGTCGCAGTGGAATTAGAGGGCGGACGGCTGGAATATGCAGAGGTCGTACTCGGGGGCGATTCTGAATATTCCTTTCCCGACAGCTTGCCCAAAATAGTGCTCGTGTCATAGTCATACTTCTCCAGCTTGTGCTCGCCTGAAAGCACCACACTTGAGGACAGGGACGTTGTATTCGATGCCAAGTCTGACGAGGGCGATACCAGAGCCTCAGTTAAATGGGCGGGCGCTCATTGTAACTTGCTCGTAGTCGCTACCACCGAGAATCAGGTCCAACCCAAACCAAATGTAGGATAAGCTGAGTTAGACGGCTTACGTCCAAAAGAATAATGCTTTGCGAAAGTACTGCATATCGCGTGCCGAATGATACACTTCCATGCATGTGCATCCGTCCATGAGGTCCTTGTTGTCCGACAAGGGGATATAGAATGACTAGGGGATAGAGAACATATCGTTGAAGCCGGAGGACCGCTGAGCCAGCAGACCGGAGTAGACACAGAAGAGCGTATTCTCTGCCTTCAGAGTCACCGTCCCATCGTTATACCAGAGGCTCTCCCGGCGCTTCGTAGTACTATTAGTATCCATGCGTCCAGAGGTACGGGTATCTAGAGAGATCTGGGGGGCGATCCTGCCCACTTAAGAACGAACCAGAGAAACGAGGCGTGGCAGAAAGATGAAGCAAGTACGACCAGTGACTCGTAATGTCAGGACCTGATGAGCGCCGAAGAGAGATAATTACAGGTGGCGTTTCGTGCTGGCCTAAAATGGGACACTCAGTATCGATAGATGGAACTCGGAATCTGCGCGAAGCCCGCACTCTTCACGCTTTTTCGCGGCTTGAATTCGTAGCTGTGTAATTGCTCCGTTGTGGCTTCCGTCCTTCCAGTCGCGTAGAGTAGACCGACGTTAGGTGCCTTGGTGCGCAGCGTATAAGAACAGGCACGTCAAACTTGAAACCCAGTCTGATCCTAGCAGACAGGGATGTTGCGTAGGAAAGCACGTTTTGTTTCCGGATCCCGCCGCCGCTGCCTGCTGCCATCATATTCCGGCGCCATGAAGCTGCATCCTCGTCGTAGTAACTGGGGGTGCCTTTGAAGGACACATCCTCATGATTTTAGCAATCACTGATGAGGACAGCAGGCTCAGGCACGTCGCTACCGAGCAGGGACGGGATAACAAAAGGCATGCCATGTAAAACCCATAAAGCGCGCGTGAGTGTGCGCGTCGTTGCGTCGAGAGCAGGTGCGGTGACCGTGACCTGAGTGACGCTCACGATCATACAAAATCCTAACCCCTTGCTCGCGCTTCTGCTGATGCATGAAGTTGAAGAGTATCCCGGTCCGCTTATCCTCCCCTTCATTCTGGCACTTTTTGCATTATCGCTGAAAGAAACTAGATGTCCTTGTTGCACAAAGAGATTTCTTCGGCACCACATGTCGTGGCCTCATTACTGGCATCTCCATTTGGAGATGAGAGGGGCCTTGTGACAGAAAGGTGGGATGGCTACAACAACGATAGTCTCTATTGCACAGATCTGCGAGCTGTCGCGGTAGAACAATGAGACTATTGAGCAATAACTAATACCTTTGACAGCCCCTTCCCGCTTTGGCCTTATGAAGGCTGTTCATTGAGAATTGTCAAAAATGTGGCCCGGGCAAGAGGATGGTCGATCAGTCATATCATGAAACAATCAATACCTTTGACAATTCAATGAAAATCTGAAGTCGATGCTCCTAAAACACTTTGAGGTACGCTGACAATCCATTGTCGGAGCGCTTGGCGAGGTGGAAATTTACCCAACGGCACTAGTACTGGAAGCGGGCATATCTCCTGGGCTCTATACGGAAGCAACCCCATTACGCGTCCCTCGCCCTCAACCCGCCATCAATATCGCTCGCTTAGCGTCACTTCCCGAATGAAGAAGAAAGGACAATGGCCTATGGCCCCCGCTGACCAACAACGCCACAAAATCAACCCATATCACGTGCACCGACGCGACCTGTTTAAATTCAGAATCTACCAGCCACAGCGACTTTGACTTCAACCACATCCCCATCCACTGAATCGCGCGCGACAGCCTTCCGCCTTGCCCACTCTTTTCAACCACAGGCCCCCAGCTTTCCCGACGTCCGTGCCACTTCATGCTCCAACCACTGTTCAGCAAGACCAACGGAGGCTACGTGCCTCCACCCAGTTCTCCCATCCCCAATAAATATCGCCCTACATCAGACAAGTGTAAGGAGAACGAGGTGAAGGGTCGTCATGCTTCGCGTGGTTCTGTAGACAACCCCGAAGCACCTGAGCCGTCCTTCGCTCCCCAGGGCGAGCGTCTCTTTTTCCAGAAAAAGCGTCCTTCCTCGACTACGAAAGAGTCGCCCTCAGAGAAGATAGAACCGGAGAGCGAACCACTTCCTCGTCTCTCACTCGCGAGGCACGTATTGCTGAAGTCCAGGCTGCTTGACTTCAACAAGAAGGTGGCAAGAGTTATGTTCAGGACCTGGATAGCCAGTGTCCTGGAAAAGAAGAGGATGGGATATAGAGTATGTGCCGTGCCACACTCATGCCACCGAGGCTTATACCTCTCGTCTTTTCAGGAGTGGCGCACATACCTACAGTGCCACAAAGCTTTGAGCGCCCGCGAAGACATAAACAAAGTAGGTCGTACACCACTAGAGTACATCGGTATCTACTAACTATCGGAAAGGACACACTCCCTCGCAGAAGCATCGAGAAGTTCCGTGCAATGGGCGTCGAGCCCGATGACTTCAACGACGAAGTCTGGATGCCTGGCGCATTCGAGCCTCCGACTCAGGTCATCAAACTCCCTTTCGAGGAGCGGAAGGAGCGGCTGGTCCGCAAGTTAGTGGCCGCATTCCTGGTCGGGGTCGAGAAGCGAGCGGAGGAGCGCGAACGCCTGGAAGAGCAGGCTCGTCTGCAGGAGGAAGAGGGAAGTCTCGAAGAGGAGGGTGAAACCTCTTCGGCCGGCGAGGAGGGCAACAAAGTCGTAGATGATGCTGAAGATGACGCAGCCGACGGCGACGGCGAGGTCCAGAATGCAGAGAAAGCGGTGGGTAACAACGAACCCATTCATGCCACGAAGGCCGTTGAAGATGCGGCAGACAAGCCCTGCCGCCCGGATGACTCTTCACATGTACCTTCGCCTGTCCGCAGCGACGAGGGCAGCGACGCTCGTCCCCCCGTCGCCACTACGGGAGCCTCCCTCCCATCATCACCATCGCCCGTCCGAAGTTCACCACTTTGCGAGATCGCCCATCCTTCGGTTGTGAAGCCAGCGGACGATGTCCCCGCACGTTCCGCCGAGGACATTGGCGTGTTGACCACGGAGGACGCGGAAGGCGCGGCCCAAGACCCTTCAGCGACGCCGAGCGCGACTTCGGAACGGGCGCCTTCCTCGACGCCCCCTCCAACGGCGTCAACCAGTCCACAGGTCAAGGCCAAACCTTCGGAGCAGGAGCAGCCGCTGCCAGCACAGAATACGCAGCATCAAGTCTATGACACAACATATACTGAGCAGGGAGCAGAGCCCCTGCAACCGATGGCAGTCCGAGGGCCACCGGCGGATTCCTTCGCCTGCCTCGCCGTCGGGATGGGGCGAGCCCCGCGCGACGACTTCGAGCGCGAGGTGTACACCGAAGGCCTCGCGCGCGCGTACGCGCAGATCCTCACCCGCGAGAACCTCGAGCACGACTTCGCCGAGCGGGGGATCGAGCTCCCGCACATCGAAGATGACGGCGCGCTCAAGCCGCGCTGGGACAACGTGTGGGCGCTCGAGCATGACGCCTACCAGGCGGTGTACGCGAACGCGTTCGCGGAGGTCCTCGCACAGGAGGCGCTCGAGGAGGAGGAGGAGGAGGCGGAGGACTCAGATGACGAGGAGAGGCCGGTGGACCGGATGGACCAGGACTGGAAGGTCCAGATTCGCCGGACGCGACGTGCGGTACTCGAAGACGTCGAGCTCGCCGATGGGTCAGCCATGGACATCTCGTTTCATGGGCCGATAGACTCTATGGAGTGCGAGGTGGCTGACGGTCCCACCGGTATGGCCGTTCCCATTCTAGCGGGCCTGGACGGCGTCGAGGACGAGCCCATGGACGTGGACTTACCCCTCCAATCCGACGACATCGACGCGTCGATGATGTCGCTAGCGCCTTTCGACTTTGGCACGCCTGCGGATCCCGTAGAGGACGTGCTGGGCGCGTTCGGCAACATCGATCTCGGGCCAGACGACGCCATCGAGGTTGATACGCACCTTGACTGGTGACTCTCGGCGATGCGAAGATCGTCGAGCGTGTAAGAAATGAGATGGACTTGCCTTGCTTACGCATTACTGCCCCTTGCTTGTTCTTCCATGTGGTATGTTTTTCTTTTGGTTGTATATGAGGTCGATGTGAATCGTTTGCTCTATCATGGTGTATATTTCAGCGTCCAGTATAATCTACCCCAAACGAATGGAACGTACTTACCTCATTTCGTCTTCCGAGGTCTTTGTTAGGCGGTGTGGACAACGACCGTAAGATTTCTTCGCTCCGTATGAGGTCAACTACCAGGGGACGGGGGGGGGGGTTATAATGAGAGATTAAATATGGAGCTGCGCGCCGCTTGACTGATGTCGGGCATCGATCATGAGAGAGTATCAGAAGCCCCCTGCGCATCCGTATTTTATAGAGGGAGATCGGAACCACGTGGTAAGGGCGTGCACACCCCGAGGGTAATCAGCCGCATGGCCCCATGAAGAAAACTGGAATATCGACAACGGGTCGATGCGCTTCGCATGGTCCTGAGCTGCGTCGTGCGGTTCGTCGTGTAACACGAATGAGAAAGTTTATGCCAGCTTTGAACGAACTGGACTGTTAGATAATATCGACACTTGCCAGGAAACGTTACTCCGTCTTGGATCTCACGTCAACACGGCATGCGTCATTCTAGAGGGGCACCTTTGGGATTTGAGGCGACGAACCGTGTGGCGTTGGCGCTTCTAAGACCTGGGTAGATGAGCGAGGCGAGATCGTGATGGATTTAGCCTCGAAGGGACGAACATTTATACATAGAACGCAAGAAAGGACAACAGCACTCGCCGTGCACCGCCGGATGTTCTGATGCAGCAGTATCAGCGGGGTGACACCGCACGCATCCACTCGGTGAAACGCATTGACGACCATCCAAGGAAGGTGGGAATTGAGGACAGAGGATTCGTACATCGATGCCGGATCAAGGGTGGAGAATTACGCGCGCCATTTCATGGATGTTTCTCAAGGTTGTATCCTGGTCGGGGCGGCACGACGTTTCTCCCTCAGAAAGAAGTAGCAGGATACGTCCGTGACGCCGTCGGTCTATCCTTCGCCGACCCAGGATTGCTCGTCTCATTCCGAGTTGAGAGCCACGACACTGCAGCCTCGCCGTGGTGACTGGGAGAGAAATATCAGCTGCTTCGAAGAAGACATGTATCAAGAGCACTCACTTCCGCAGGCACGGGGCGCCCTAGGAACAGTGCAGGGTCCTGTACTGTGAACATATATACGACGCCTGCCAGTCACGACTGTGGCATGGCGAGCATGCGTACAAACATCCAGGACGGTCGGTGTACTTGTAGGAGGCCGCAGTGCGCGCAGAATACGCCCTCCTCCGCCTTGATGCCCACTATGGACCGAAACTCCCGGTGGCCAGACCGCGTTCTCCGCCCAGAGCACCCTCCTATGGAGGGATTGACTTGGGCAGCGCGCGGGTCTCGGGAGGTGAAGCCAGTCCGCACCATCCTACAGCTGTAGAGCGGCATACCATGAGGGATGCGCAAGAGCACAGGACACTGAACCTAAGTTGCGCCGCACAGGGTCCAGTGAGGAACTTTGACTATCCAGCTCCCTCTGGAGAGCCCCCAAGGGGGGCGGGGGTTGACGAAGCGGGGCGCGCTCATCCCAAACATCCCCGCGTCTCTCTCGGCAGGGCGTGCGAGATGCACGCCGCAGTCCAGCCACCGCTCGATGCATGGCGCGCGCACGTCGCTATTGAGCAGCGCCTCCTCGCCTTGCTCTGGGGAGACAACACACACTAACACGCGTTCCCACTCGCCGTGCCACGTCCTGGCGCCAGAAGTCCAAGATCTTCTAGCGACCGGTCGCAGTGGAAGACGAGGGCGCGCGCCGGCAGGCATCGCGGCATTCGCGCGCTATCCTGGATATATCTTTGCCTACGATGTAGCGTAGATCGCTATCGGAGCGGTCGTGAGCCCCCAGCTCGGCCCTCGTTGGTGAGATGGACGGGGATGCCGTGCTCGATGCTGGCGGACGGGAAGTGTGCGTCCGCCCCGCTGGGAGTTGTCGGGGCTCCGCAGAGAAGGAGGTCTAAGGCTGTGTAATCGTCAGGGAGGTACATGTACGTAGGCCGCGTACGCAGGGGTTTGGTGGGTATTCCACCACCGGCGGCATCGTGAACCTGGACGGAGGCGCACCCGTCGACCATGTCGCTGCTATCGCACTGGGGGATAGGAAACACATCTTCGACCAAAACCAGAGCAGACGCGGGTGAGGGTATCCTCTGCCTTTAGGAACACCGTGCCATCGTTGTACCAGAGGCTCTGGCAGCACTTTCATTCAACGGCTGTGCGCATCTGTATCCATTGGCCGAGAGGTGATGGCGATGGCTGGGTATTACACCGCTGTAGTCAGAGTTCGGCTACCCTCGGAAACCTGGGGTAGTTGGTCGAGCCTCGCTAGCGCTGTGTGTCCGTGGGTCGCTGTAAGGATAAGGATACCGTGGACGAAAGATGCCGTGCTCCTCCGCGCCGACAACGCCCTCGTCGCATCGCCATCCAAGAACCGACGGTTTACTGATTTGCGCCGAGAGCGCCTAGCGCGTCGCGCGGACTATCCCACAGCTCGGAAGCGGTGCACTCTGCGAAGACACGATCTATACGTGCGGCACGCAGCCCGCGCAAACAAAAGCCGTCCCGAAAGTCGTCGACCAGCATGAGGAAAAGACTTGCCACGCCGGAGGAAGCCGACCGCATTTCTCTGGAGAGACGTGCCAGCATTCGAACCCATGGCACTCCCCGGGTCGGCGCTGAGAGCAGGAGGCAGATCGGGCGAAAGCCCGAGTCATAGAGACGATGTCGGAATAGCTGTAGGTCTTCCGCCCGTCGTCGTGGCTGCGATGTACGGATGCTTCACCAGGGGCATGTCGTACCTGATAGCGAGCCTCCGCGTCAAGCTACGAGCAAGTTACAGCCAGGTCAGACGTATACGACGAATACCCTGGTCGTGACTTGCTCTAGTGGCTGCCGCCCAGAACCAGATCCACGTCACACTAAACCTGAGAGAAACGAAGGGTGTCGCTCACGTTGGGACGAGGAATGCCTGACTTTGGGAGTATAAGGGAAGAGCGAGGGATGGAGGGCGCTGAAAGTAGTACAGTGAATGAACATCGAACGTCGAACCGCTGGGCTGAGCCACGAACAAAACTCTCCTTCGTCCTCATCGCATTCGTGTTGGTGTTCATCGAAACTCCCGCAGGACACCTCCAACCCCTTCACGTACAGAAACCCACATTCAAATGGCCAGCACTCACTTACGACAAACGTCCTGCTCCCGGCCGTCGCGTCGCATGACCATCTACCAACCGCCCCGGACCTCTAGTCATGTCAATGGTTACGCGCCAAGACGCTGAACGTCTCAGTTTGCCGATCCCGCCTGTCGACCGTCCCTCCATACGTCTGCCTTGCTTTTACACCCTCCACCTCGAAATGAAAGCGCGAAAGCCGAGCTGGCTGGCCATACATCCTGAATTCGAAGTTTGTACGAAACACAGAGAGGGCAACAGACTCTGGAGAACGCTTCGGCTTTCGACCACCGCAGCCAGGGCAGTCCTCTGCAAAGTCCGCATCGTGAGTGAACTTGAACTTGAGCTGCGGGCCGGGCGCTGGTGATGTCGTTACGACCAGCCCAGACTCCCAACTGACGGCACAGGGCTTGCATCCCTTGATGCTCACCGTGCTCGCGAGCGGGCTTGCCTGCCCGTCCCCCACGATGAGCCCGCTATAAAACACGCCCTCCGCGTCCGGTTCCCCTACTTCTCACCATTCTCCGCACGACCATGTCCCCCGCCCGCTCACTCGCCGCCCTCGCCGTCCTCGGCGCGCTCGCACACACCGCGTACGCCGGCGTGTGCTTCACCGCCGGCGGCGTCGGGATCAACACGCTCAACTTCACCGTCTCCGCGGTCAACACGACGCTGCCCAACTCGAGCACGGCCGGCGCGCCGCTCGGCTGGGGCCTCGCGCTCGGGAGCGCGTCCGCGCGCGGGTCGTGGTGGCTGATCGTACGTCCCTTCCCTCCCTCTCCCCTCCTCCCGTCACCGTCCGCTGCCCCATGACCGCTGACGCTCGCGCATGGAGGACCCCGCGTACGACCCGATCTACTACGCCGCGCACAACACCCTCTCGCTCACCGACGGCGTCCTCACCGAGGCGTACCCCGCCGTGTTCAAGTCCGCGCCCGTCTCCCCCGGCAGCGCGCTCATGACCGCGAACGCGGACCAGCTCGCCGGCGCCGCGCCCGAGGACTCGTACTGCGTCGTCGTGCGTCTCTCTCCCCTCTCTGATCGAGCGCGCTATTAATGCGGTGTGATGGCAATGCAGGCGCCGGCGGTGTGGGGCGCGCGCCCGAAGCTCGCGGTCAAGGGCCGGACGGACAAGTTCGCGATCTGCCACTACGAGGCGGGGACGCCCTTCGCGCAGGCGGTTGTCGGTGCGTGTTTCGCCCCTGCCTTTCTGCCCCTTCCCCGTCTGATCTGACTCGGACTTGCGCGCGGACAGTGTACGACGGTGACAGCGTCCCGGGCTCGGACGCGGGCGCGCCGGACTGCTACAAGGTCGACCTCTACGTCGACGTCGACGTCGCGCACTGATCTTCGTCCCCGCGCCATGGGCATGGATGGAGGGTTGGAGAGATGATGGGTTGGAGAACTTGAAGCTTGAATGCGTGAAGGGAGTTGATGGACTCTGCATCGCACACGGACATTGTTTGCTCGCTCCCATATCCACCCTCCCTCTAGCTAACAGTAATACTCCAACCACCGTGGCCATCGAAATGCAATAACCCCAATTCCTGAGCCACGTCCCACCTTTAAGTTTCCCGCCAACCCTCGATGACGCGCCACCACACGCAACATTTCGCCGACGCTGACTCATCCGCGCTGAGGCAGCGCGCGCTCCCCTCGGGACCCAACTGTGCGCGCGTCACCTCCGAAATTCGAATGCTCCTTAGCCTGTCAAGTTTAAATAGATCAACGCCTGCCATGGCCAATAAATTACTGGTGCGATAGGGCGCATTATTGAGTGGGCGTCGGCGTCCGAGATCTCGTCATGGCCCCCAGTCGTCTGTAAACTCAGTGCAACTTGAAGCCCGGGGCCCTCAAGGCTCATGTAATCGCAATCATGGAACGCGCGAGCTCGGTTCGGGCGCGAGAGGTGCCCCCCCCCTCCCCCTTCCCCTTCCCCTATGCGTTGCTCGCCCCATTGCAATTTGCAACTGTGCGCTGGGGTTCTGGGGTTCTTTTTGGTATCCCAGCCGTCACGGTGGCAACGTGCAGCTCTTGTCTCGTCTGCGGTACCTACCCCGAACCATCGGGCTCCTCGAACCCGGCGGTGGTACTACTTAGTAGCCACGGCTCGGAGGTACGTCGGCAGTACACGCAGGCTTAGGATGGGGATGGGGGCAATGGATTGGCTGACCGTTGCCTGCCATCCGATAAGTTATTAGTATCCGGCCTGCGCATCGACGAACGACTCGACTCGCTGTGAGTGCATGTATAATCCAGGCGCGCTGTAGTTGCTAAGATGCGGACGCGAGGAACACGGCTCTCTTTCTTTGCATTTTAGTCGCACCCCACGCGCACGCACTTGGACTGGTTCTCCATCCGAGTCCAGGGGTTCACGTCCGTCCTCCGAGTACTGACGACGTGCCCCGGCGCTGCGCGGGCTGGGTGCTATCCACGAGTTATGCGCGTTAAAATGCAGGATGCTAAATTTGCTGACACCTGCTCGATAAAGTGGCTACCGAGTTGCTGCTCGGCTGCGGGTCGAAAGGGATGTGATGAGCGAGCGAGCGAGCGCCATGCCTGACCCCGCGTTCAGTGTATATACGCAGGTCGGCGTCAACGGTTTCATACAATTCGTAAGTATCTTGTATCCTATGGTATACCAGCAACAACAGTCCCGCACGAACGTGCCATATCTAGAGTACAAATGTCGATGGAAATGCGGATGAAAATGAAAGAGCGGCGACTTGTAAAGTCAACGAGCGGCATACATAACCTGGGAGGCGGGATACATCACCCGTCCGACAGAACGATAAGATACATTAGGGAGTACAGTAATTTTACCACATCATCATACAACAGGGCCGGGTTACGAGGCGAGGTACGCCTGGGCGAAGGACGGCATATTATCGTTCGGGTGGTACGACGGCGGCTGGCCATGGTACGCCCCCGCGTCGCCGTACAGGGAGATGGGCGACTGCTCGTAGCCCGCGGGCGGCGGCCCGCAGTACATCTCCATCTCGCCCGGCGCGCCGTACTCCGCCGGTGGGTAATAAACGGCGTGCTGCTGCTCCAGAGCGGCCCTGTCACCAAATAAAAGCCATGTCAGTTCGCCTGCGAGCACACAGGGAGCGCGCGAGCGCGAGGGCTTACAGAGTATATGGATGCACGGGCGACGTCAGGAGCGGCGAGTCCACGCCCGGCGGCGGCTGAGGATACGGCTCCATCGCCGGCGAGATCGACATCGACATCTGCATCGTGGGCTCGGCGTAGTACTCCTGCTGCGCCGTGGGCGGCGGCGGCAGGAAGGGCATCGACGCCGCGTGTCGCACCGGCCGCGGCGCGTAGATCGACTGTTGAGCGGCGGACGAGGGGAAGTGGTACTCCACCGTCGGCTGCTCGGTGTACTGCTGGGGCTCCTCCGGATAGAGGGGCGGCACGCCGTACTCCGCCGGGCGCGAGAACGCGCCTGTGCTGAGGCACGGCGCGTCCTGGTAGCCGTACCCCGCCCACTGCTCCTGCTCCTGCTCCTGTCCCGCGGGGGCAGGATGGTCGGGGACGACCACGGGGCCGCACGCGTCCGCGGACGGCTCGCGCTTCACGCCCCGGGACGGATCATGCGGCTGGGCGATGTCGGGCTCGCTGTTCCGCCGGGACTGCGCGCGCGACTCGGCGTCGGAGAGGTCGGGCGTCGAGTACGCGGTGCAGACGGTCTCGCGCCGCTTGCGCCGGTTGAGGCTCGCGCCGCGGACGCGCTTGGCCGGGTCGGTCACGTACGTGCAGGTGTGCCCCCTGGCGAGACACCGCGCGCAGGACGGCCGGTCGCCGCTGCACTGCAGAGAAATCAGCGCTCGTCCCTGGCTACGCGTCGTCGGCGCGGACGTACCTTTGCTTTCCGCTCTCTGCATTTCTCGCACGCTTGCGTGGTCCGCTGGTTTTTCAGGGGGGTCGGAGAGCGCAGGAATATACAAGCGCCCTCCGGCCCAGGCAGTGTTCCCGCATCGTATTGGTGGTACTCGGACCCCCATGGCACGTTATATGGGATGAGGTTCCACGAGTCTTCGTTCTCCGACGGGGTGGGAGGCGCAGAGTCCAGGGTACTGCCAGTGGAAGCGGTGGAAAGTGGAGAATGCGCGACGGCGCCGTAGGGAGAGGGGGAGGGGTGGAGGTCGCTGGGCGTCACGGGGGAGCTATCTGATAGCTGCTGGACTAGATGGCGCTGCTGGACCGAGCGCGGATGTTCGACCCCATCCCCGCGGTTAAAACAGAGATTTAAGCCGGCAGCCGCTGGTCTCTGCAGACGACCGGGCAGGGGGCAGTCAGCGGTTTCTGGTGGGGTCTGCGTAGGACATTAGCACGCGAACCATCTACGAAACATACAACTCACGCACCGAGGGTAGAGCAGGCATAACGAAAGCGGTGGAAACTGGTGTTGCGCTGCCCGGAGGGATATGGGGATTTTTAAGGAATACAAGTAGATCTGGAGGCGTAGGATAAGCGACGGGGCTGGCGCGATTCTGAAGGCCATATATGGAGCCAACTGCTACTGGGTCTGGGCAGCGTACCGAGAGAAGTGGCTGCTTGCTTAATTTTGGATATCTCAGATCTCGATCTCGACTCTCCAGATCCAGATCTCGCCGGCAGAATTTGCTGGACGACGCCCGGCCAAATAACGCCAAACGAAGAACCGACTTTGGCAGAGCGACTAAATCGCAGCTAAAGTCGGCTCGCAGATTGACGCCGCGCGCGTGATCTCGAGGGAAGGCTGCACCTCTCGCGAACGTTAACGCAATCAGAATCAGCTCGGCTTTACGCCGGGAAGTCCGTGCTTCCCTTCCTTGCCGCTCGACATGGAATGTTCAGCAGCGTCCCATGCTGCTCTGGCGCCAACACGCCCCCCCCTCCCATGAGCCGGGGTGTAACGACCGATCAGCGACTAATCAGCCTGTCAGCTATAATACCACAACTGCCAACTGAACGAGCTGGACACACTCGTATGGCGGTATCAAGGCACTCTGCGGCACCGCATTCCGTCATGGGCTGCTTGCCATTCGGTGCCGACGTACCTGAGATTGCGCCAGGGGCGGGCTGAGCACAGCGGAGGCTCCTGTGCTCCCGGTCCGCGGCGGTCGCGCGTGGCGGCGTACCTGATCCCAGTACCAGCTCTGAACAGGGCTCTATATCGCCCATTCGGCGGCTCATCAGGCAGGTTAATGGCCCCGGGATGGCATAGCCCGAGATGTTTCGCGCTTCCTTCCCGGAAATGCAGCCCCATCTCGGTTTCACGCTCGAGAGTAAATCGCATCGGTCCCGGGGCTGCAGATTGAGAGGGCCCTTCAGTGACAAGACACACCGGCTACTCAACGGCGAGGCTAAAAGAAAATCGAGCGCGCAGGTGTCAGGATAGCCTCATGTGACGCGCGAGACGTACCTTATATTGCGTGAAATGGGGTCTGTGGGATTGCACCTTGTCAGTGTAGGAGGCAGCGCTTCCCCCTCACTCCAATCACCACTACAAAATCGTGAAACCTTCGCAGCCGAGCCACAGAGCGCCGTTGCATTTCTCTCGAGTCATGGAGAGACCGAATTTTCCGGAAGAGATAAACTGATAGAGATAAGATCACCGACGACAGGCCGGGGCCACATTCAATAGGAGGTCGTCCGTCCGAGTCGTACCAGCCCTAGACCAACTTCTAGCTGGACGTCGGCAAGAAATTAGCGCTCCGTCAAGCTTCTGCCCAGGCCCTCCAGCTGTACCTCCACAGCATTACAAGTGCACCTGACCACCATCCCTGCCGACGCTGGGGCGCACATACAATGCGACGCCCCAGCGCTGTCCTATTTGCTTGGCACCGCGCCCCCTCCCCCCTCCCCCCTCACTCACGGAGATCGCGGAAGTCAGGAGCTTCGCGGGTTAATCTATCACGACAATGGAATCACCACACGGAGGGAATACGCCTTGTGCGCTATGACGTTGGACGCCTGGTACACTACCCCAAGAGGCATAAAAAGCCACGGATGAAAAAGAAATCAGGGCGATCGGGCAGAGGCATGGATGCCACCGGCACTTTCCACTTGCCACAGCATCGCTCCAAGGTCAAGGTCAAGACCACGAAATCGCAAACCCCTACCACTTGCAGACTACAGGATGGCGATAGAGGGGACGGCCAAACCGCAGGACGACGGGATAGGAAATAGCATATACTGACGGGGCGGCGGCTGGCGAGGCCCTTTGTCGGCGTAACGAACAGAACTCACGGCCCTTACACTTTCGTGGTGAACACTGGTATAATGAAACTTGGTATCTCTGAAGAATACACACCATATGCAGAAAACCTGGGGGCTCAAGACAATGAAACGATACAAAGACCAGCACAAGTGACCGACTGATGGTTCATGCGCTTGGATCATGTAAGACGGCAAGGAGATACCGTTCATCTATGGGAGCGTCGGAAATTGGAGATAGGGCTCGCGTCGCCGCACTGGTAGAAGCGGCAGGACTTACCAGGTGAAATCATAATCTCGTGCCGTTTCGTGCGTATCCGCATGAACCTGACTTCGTCCTGCGAATCGCACGTAAGCATGATCCCGCCGCCCGACCTGTCCACACGGCGCGCGAAGCAAGAGAGAGAGACGCACCGCGTCCTTGGGGTCAGCCGCGACCTCGACGAGCCCCTGCTGCACGCTCTCCACGATCCTCGCGACGGCGTGCGCGTATTTCCGTCCCTGTTCCCCCTCAAACACCACCCCCGCGTGCCGAATGATGCTTACGGGGTGTCCGCGCGAAAGCAGCATGTACCCAAGCACCGACCGATGCGACGAGAGCAGCGTCAGCGTCTGCTCGAGCTCCGGCGGGGGCTGTATGCTCGCTGGCGCCGCCGAGTTCGCAGGGCTGGCCGTTGCTAATGGCGGGTACGCCGATGTTGCTGAGGTCTGTCGGAGGTGGGGAAGTTAGAAGTCGCTGCCTGCGAGTGCATGATGCGAAGGAGATACTGACCATGGTGTGGCTGTCTGAATCTGCAGTTTCACGTCGAGTTTGTTTGTGGTTATTGTCGTCACCGGGTGCAAATAGATGCAAATAACGAGCTCCTAATGCCGGTGGCGTTCCAGGTTAGAGCGTAAGGCCATCTTAGCATAGGCAACCTTTATTCACTACGGAAAGTCAAGGCTACGGCGATATAACAGTAGTGAAAGTATCCACATTCACATATCGCTCGTCCAGACTGGCCGATGCCCAGGATTCCGGGGATGCGTCATGACGTGCGATGGCGATCACCCGCTGCAGTTTCAAAGCCTCTCTGCAATTTATCACGCCAGGCGACGATTCAGGTGCCCAAGGGCGTCCGAATGGAGCGGACAGCTGCATGAGCCTCTAGATACCTGGGCTCTCAAGGATATCCGTTGCCTGGGACGGTACGCGGTAGCATTGGAGCGAGCACTCCATGGCGCTTCTAAAAGGCTGACCCATACATAGCCGACATCAATGTTTCGTACACTCGGAAGCACTCGCAAAGCGGGAGATTGAATTTTAGCCTCGAGCTGGCGATAGGGTCTGGCCTCGCCTCCACTGTACCGGTATGTGTGACTTCTGATTCCGGCGTTGTTATTCCTTCCAATCTGACCCCCATGAGCGGGGCAGCCAATCGAAAAGACGCTCCCGCTCCGTAATTGGTCGCCACAAACACACCCATCATGAATCCCCGCCACTACGGCGATTGGGGGAGGACATCTTTGCGACGTTGCAGATTCCATCCCTTCCTGACGTCCACATGCACCGGGCACCCCGCTGCCAGATAGCCTAGCTTCCCCACGACGAAGCGTGATCCCCGCGACTTGTTCTTGTCGTCCATACTATCATTGGGGGGGTTCTGTAAAAGTTAGATTTTTTACAGAACTCCGAAATCTCGAGAAGTATGCTACAGGGAGCTTAGCGGGTTGGTACGTATATGCATTGTATACCATACAGATGGTCTGTGAAGTCAGAATTGCCTCAAGTTGGCCCCTTGTCGTATGGGAGGTTGAACACCATCCAAAGTGCCCACTGTAACAGGTCTGATGGCCACTTGATGGGTAGATCTGCCAGCCTACACGGCCCCGGCATATATCGGCTTGCCTAGAGGAGGTGTTTCTTGTATGTGTAAACCTCCTGCGCCCACCCGATAATAGCTGCAGGCTTGTGAAGTGCTCGTATGGTAGATTTTACAGAACTCCAAGGGCCCACGGGCGTGACAGATGCGTGACAGACGCGCGCGGATCGGATAGTGTTACCCGCGCGTGACGTTTTTACATTACTCCCCGCAAGTGCCGTCTGTGTGCGGCATCTCTCTGTATTACTCTGTACATAGTGAATCGAGATCATTCTTTTTGCAGATGGTACTTATGAAGGTATACTATGATGCCTGAGTGAAATAACAGGGAATGATGAAGAAGGTAGCCCTTGGCCGGTCATATTGTCAAGTTTTTACAGAACCCCCCCAATGATAGTAACTCGGTGTAAGTATGTACAGTAGTACGCGTCCATCTCGCCGCTGCCAACGCTATCGAGCCATCCCACAGGACCCGAGTTCCCGGAATGTTCTCGGAACGCGTTCTGATCGGCTCCGTCAGTCAGTGGCTACCAAACTGTACACCGGCGCCATCTGCATGGAAGGGGAGCGATGACGTTTCTCGCTCTGTGTATACACCAATGCCAACAGCCACGTCCCCCCCCACCCCCACCTGCACTGATATTCGAGCGCGTGAAGGGCGAAGGGAGGGCGTTCCCGTTCCTCCTATCGCAGACTACTACATTCCAAGTATTATTTGATCTCCCAATTGCGACGCATCAGATCGCCCAGGCCAGCCACTGAGCCAGCGAGGGTCACGCGCGACAGGAACTTGCCCGCCATTGGCCGGCAGCCCCGGTCGCTGCGCTCCATATCCAATTACCCCCCCCTCCCCCAATGCCATATCGCAGTGCGCAGGTCTCACTAATCCTACATGCCGCCAACTA